GAAGAAGCTAGGTGGGAATGGAGGAAATGGATTTTTAGGGACATTCTACAACCCATGTTTTGGTATGCCATTATGAAGTTTTCTACCAAGTTCACATAGTCTTCTGATCTGTGGTTTCCTAAAAAATTCTGAACCAGTGCCACAAACGCTTCCCAAGCCAGCAACTCCACAGGCTCTAGTTGTAATTTGAAATTTGGGTCACGAATAACTTCACGTATCTGTGGTCCAGTAAAAACTCCTGCAGCTATCTTTGCGTTTGTGAGAGTGGTTTTGAATTTATCTTTAAGATAAATAAATCCTTTCGAATCAGTAGGTAGCGCCTTGACAAAGTTTTTAAATATTCCTAATTTGATATGAAGAGGAGGAAGGAAGATTTTGTCAGGATTCACCAACGATTCGTGAAGAATGTTAAATTGTCCAGGTACCGGATCAATTCTCGCAGGCCAGTCTTTGACGAGATAGTGATTTGCATCATCACGACTGTTCCACAGACACAAAAAGCACATGTGTTTCGTGTACCCCAATTGCATCCCAAGAAGAAGAGCAACAACTTTGAGATCCCCACTGATATTTCAGTTGTGATCAGTGTACTTTATAACTTTAAGAAGTGTCTTCATAGATTCATATGTTTCTTTCATACCCACTGCATGGGCTACAGGAATGGATGGTTTAACATTTCCGTTATGTAGCAGAACTGCTTTTAGACTGACTTTACTAGAATCAATAAACAGACGCCAATCTACAGGATCATACTCATCATCCAATTTTGTCATTAACCCAGCAATGTCTACACAGTAACATATATTGTCCTCTTTGTTGTAAAATTTTGCAAATTCGGTGTGCCGGTCACGAAAATGGGATATTTTAGTTCCTCTGTCCAGTAAATTCCATTGATGTAATCTAGACCCCAGGAGTTCTGCTTTATTTTTAGTTAACCCAAGGTCCCTTACCAGATCACTAAGTTCTCCCTGCGTGATCATGTGAGGTTTATCTTTGTCGTAATCTGGTTTGTATTCAACATCAACCTTTTCATCACCACTTTGTTCTTCTTCGCTATAAAGAACAATGTCTGTAGGAGGAGTTGGAACAGGATATTCAACACTGTGGGGAACTGGTTTTATTGCAGATGAACAGTTAGGGTACACAATTGATGCTTTGGTTTTCTTAGAAT